GGAGCGCGTGGGGGCGGGGCCTCGGCCGGCCCGCCCCCGCGGACCACGCCCCCTCCCCAGCTCCTCGGCTCTCGCAGTCGGAGCTGAGCAGCTGGCGGAGCGGAGCGGATCGCAGGTAGGGAGCTTCTCCGGGTCTCCCAGAGGGGTGTGGCGGGGTGTCTTCTCCGGGGCGGCGGGACCTCGGACCGGACCTCGGCCTCCTGGCGGCTGCCGCCCGCATCCAGCCCCCTCTTGCAGGGTCTTCCTGGCCGCCGGCAGGGGGCTCCGGGCTGGGTCTCTAGGCCCCGAGGAAATGCCCGGGCCGCCGCGGCCTGTTTGGGGAGAGCAGGTTACTCATCCCGGGGAAGGGGGCGGGTGTGGCAGCAGCGGGAGGGATTTGGGGCGGACGTCGAGCAGCGCTTGCGGCGTGCAGGGACAGCCTCCCCTCGCTTTCACCCGTGGGCTGGACCGCGAGTAGGGGACTCGAGGGGCGGAGCGGGGGGCGCCGCGCGGGGAGGGGGCGCCGACCCCCCAGCCCGGTGGGGCGGCGCGGGCGGTGGGACCCCGGTTGCTGGGGAGGTTGGGGCGGAGGGAGCCGTCCTGGCGCCGCACGATTAGCCGCCTCTGGGGGAGGAGGAGTCGCCGGGCGCTCGCCGAGTGTTTGCGCCCGAATGGGGGGCCTCTGGGCGGAGCAGAAAAACTTCACCCGCGCCCGCAGGCTCCCTCTCCGCGGGCCCCGCCGGCAGCACGTTTACAGGCCGGAAATGCAGCGTTGTTTTTTGATTTTTAAAAAAGAAAGCCCCCGGGGGCGCCTGGGTGGCTCAGTCGTTAACCGTCTGCCTTCGGCTCAGGTCGCGATCCCAGGGTCCTGGGATCGAGCCCCTCATCCGGCTCCCTGCTCAGCGGGAAGCCTGCTTCTCCCTCCCCCACTCCCCCTGCTTGTGTTCCCTCTCTAGCTGTTTCTCTTTCTCTCTCTGTCAAATAAGTAAAATAAAATCTTAAAAAAAAATAAAAAGAAAAAGAAAGCCCCCGGCCCTCACATCTTATCTGGGGTTGGAGTGGATGTGTGTATGGGTGGGGGGAGCGGGGATCAGCCGGTTCCAGGCAGGGCCTCCGTTCCCGTTGGTGGAGGTGTCTTCACTGCATAAGAGGAGGCCTCCTGCCTCAGTTTCCCCAGTTTGTAGACTAGTGGTATAACTTCTCTCATAACGGGGTGTGAGAGAATAAAAGGAGGAGGCTAACCCAGTCCCGGGAGAATCATTATCTACTGTCATATATTCTACTTGCTTTTTTGATATTTCTGTCTCCGCCTCCGGTCTGGCCCCTCCAATCCTCTCGCCTCTCCGAAGCCAGAAGGAACTTGTAAAAACAACCGGTTCAAATCAACCCCCGCCTTAAAACCGTCCGCTGATGTCCCTATTGTCTAAGTCCCAAACTTGTCCACAGGGCTTTCTGTTACCTTCCAAGGCGACCTTCTCCAGGCTCCGCGGCCGCCTACCCCCCCCACCCCCCACGCCTTTGCCCCTGCAGGTCTCTTGCCAGGAATGACCCCCTCTCCCCCAGAAGTGACCCTTTTAAGACTCAAGGCAGCTTCCCCTCTTCGGCCAGGGCCCTCTCCACCTACTTTTGCGCTCCTGCTCCCCTGGGGGACTTGGTGACGACGGGTTCTCAGTGCTAGGCTGCCCGTCCTCCTGCCCCCACAGCCCCAAGTGGCGCGGGAGCACCTCAAGGGCAAGAACAGGGTCCTGTAGCGTGGAGCTGAGCCAGACCCAGCGGGGCCCTGGGGCCCTGGGTGGACGTTGAGGGTGGGTTCCCCTGGGAGGGAAACGTCTTTCTTTGTCCCGCGGGGTGGCCAAGTCAGGGCTTTTGGTTTGTGTCTCATCAGCAGAGACAGCAATGGGAGGGATTATTCTAGATCGCCCCATGCCTGACAGTTCCACCATTAGCGGCTCAAGTATTGTTGGCTGAGCCCATTGTAGCTGGCACCGTCTGCACCGCGTCCGGGGGCCTGGGATGCTGCATTACTGTCCCGTTTGACAAATGAGGAAACAGCCGTGGAGCGGTGAGGTCGCTTGCCAGGGGTCACAGGGGGAGTGGAGAGCACAGTCAGGCCTAAAACTCCGGTCAGCCCCCCCCCCAAGCCCCTCGCGGAGGGGGGAGGGGGTGCTGGAGGCAAGGATGCAATACGGGAATGCGTGACCCCGGGGGTGATGGAGTGTAGAGTCGGCTTCTGGTTACGAGCTGGGGGGTGGGGCGCGGCGCTGGGGGACCTTCTCCGCCGGGCGGGGCTGGTCCCGGCGAGGCCGGTCCCGGCGAGGCCGTCGGGGTGCTCCGGGGCGGGGGTCAGGCGGCCACGCTGGAGGCGCCGCATCGGGTTCCCGGGCCGCCGGTCCTCGGGTTTCTGGCCTCTTCCTAGCACTCTGGGGCCCCGAGGGGTGGCGGGAGGGCACTTCCCGGCCGGGGGTCTGGCCGCGGGTTGTACCCTCCCGCCTTGTTTGTGTTTCTGCGTCCGGCCCTGCTGGTTCCCGGCAGTGGCTGGCCCGCTGCAGCCCGCCGCCCCCAGCTCCACTGCGCGCCCCTCCCTTGGCCTCCGCCCCTCCCCTGCCTCCCCTCTATCCTCTCCCTCCCCGTCTCCCTCGGCTCTGTCCCGAACAATGGAGTGGGAGGTGGCCGAGGCCCGCTAGGGTCTCCTCCTGGGGCCTCTCTCGCTTCCTGGGACCCCTCTGTCCGGCGGATCGCCCCTCCACCGCCAGCCCTCCGTTCTGCCAGGTGGGGGCCCAGCTGGCCTGGGGTGGGGAGGAGGTCACCGAGTCTCAGCTTCAGTTTACAGAGGAGGAACCTGGGTGCCCTAGAGTAACTGTGACTCACCCAGAGTCCGCCCCCCAGTTTCCCTTCCAGCCCCTCACACGGGGTTGACACCTGCCAACCCACTGGCTGTGAAGGTGGGCAGGTCGTCAAGCCGCCCCACTCTGGTGCCGTTCTGTTCCATGCACCAGCAGCACCTGCCTCCCCAGAGCGCCTTAGACCTGCCAAATCCCCTTCCCGCCCTTCAGAATCAGAATCTGCATTTTATCACCACCCCACAGACTCATGGAGACCCTAAAGTGTGTGACCCTCTGTGCCTTAGTTTCCCACCTGTAAAACGAGGATGAGAAAAGCACCTCCCCGGCTGTGCCGCCATGGGGATGAATCTAGTTCGTGGATGTGAACACCCAGCGGCGAGCCTGACTCGGAAGTCGGTGGGTGGTGGGCAGTGGACATCGGGCGAATCAAAGCACAGCCTCACTCTTTTCCCCTTTCCCCGACGGTGGCTGGTTCTCCAGTGCCCTGCCCCCCTCCTCTTGTGGGCTGGTTCGGGGCCATCCCCACGTGCCAGCAGCGGCCTGGCCCTGCAGCTGGGAAGTGCCCATGCACGATGCCCAGCTCTGGCTTCCCCCAGCCAGAAACCCACGCAAGGCCCAAGACCCCCAGTTTTCAGCCTAGGCTTAGAGTGGCCTGGCTTTGCCAAGAACCACACTGGGAAAGAAGCACCCAACGTGATTGAACCCAGTGCTTGTTCCCCTAGTCCCCCCCTCACCCCCCATCTTCCTGCCCTCGGAGAGAGGTGTGAAAGCTACCAACAATGGAGTCTTGGGAAATAGACTGCAAACTCCCTCTCACTAAAGTGTAAATGACTGAGAAAACACTGCCAAAGCTCCCCTCCCTGTAGTAAGCACCTGGCTCTGGCTTAAGACTGATTCATCCTTGATACAGTTGTTGGCTTCTCAGGGCAGGAGGGCAGGAGGTGGGGGTTCACGGGGGGTCTGCAGGGTTGTCTGGGGTCCCCAGATAGGTGGGTGGGCCGAGGGGAGGGGTTGGGAAGGCCAGAGCCTGGTGCCTGGCTGGACTCTGAGAACCTAATAGGAGGACACACAGGGCATGTGGAAAATTCCCAGGCTATTTTGGGTTGAGGCCCCCTTCTCCACCCTTTCCGGCGATGAAGGCCCTGCTGACACACCCCTCCCTGAGGGCAGCCAGGGTGGGAGTGACTTTCTGGCTCCCTCACCTCTAGACCTTGGGTCCCCTTCCCCTGGCTCTGGGCACTGTTTAGAACCTGGGGTGGGAGCTGACTGAGGGAAGGGGAGCATGGCCCCCTGCTTACCCACCTCCTCAGACCACCTGCTTTGAAGACCTCACCCATGCTCCCCTCCCCTGCCCTGCTTGCTTTTTCTCCAGAACATCTCCCCAGTTTACTTCCTAGCTGGGGGGCCAAGGCAAGCTACATGACACTTAGTGCCCAGTTTTCCCATCAGCTAAATGGGGTTGAACGAGTGGAGATGGGTGAAGTGCCTAGCTCCAGGACACGTTCCTGTCCCGGTGGTGGTGGGTCTCCAGTCCCCGAGCCTGTGCTCCTGAGGGCAGGAATTTGCAGCCCTGTGCATAGTGGGTGGCCCGGCAACTGTTGGAAAGGATGTAGCCTTCGGCAAGGTCCTCGGGTGCCAGTGCAAGCCCCCAGCGTGCTTGGGGGACAGACGCAGCCCCACCTGGTCCCCTGGTGTGCACACACAGGCAGTGACAAGCCCACGCACGTGAGGGCACATGTATACGCGTGCACAGGCGTGTACACAAGCGCTTGCACACAGCAGCCTGTGACACGCCCTGGCCGGGGACATTTGGGCCACTTTGCTGCCCGTCAGAGGCCCATCCCAGGTCTGGGCTTCAGGCACCTGCTTGCAAACCGCTCCCAGCCATGGGGAGCTGTGGGGAGTTGAGGGGCTCGTGGGCTGGTGGTGGAGGGGGCTGGTCACAGAGGGTGGGCCCCGCCTCTGCCGGGGGGTGTGGCTGGCCCTCTGTACCCCTCTCCCCACCTGTGCTGGAGGGGGGGTCAGCAGCAGCTGCAGGGTTGGCTCCTGGCTGACTGGCTGCCCCCTCCCCCAGCTGTTTTCCTTACAGCTGGACTCTGACCCCTGCCTCCCCCACACAGAGGCCATTCACTCCTCTTTCTGTGCCTGGCCCTGGGGGTGGGCTGGCCCGTGGCCAGGCCTTTTCCAGCTGCCCCAGCTGCTCTCTCAGCTCAGATGGGCTGAGAGAGGCGGGCAGGGCGGTGGTGAAGGCCCCGGGGTCTCCCCAAGCCCCCTACCCCAGCCAGTGGTGCCCTCTGGGCCCCGGTTTCTAACACTGCCGGGCTAGCCTGGCCGTCGCCACCCCCTGCTGGACTGGGCCCGCGAGGACACACCGAGTTCCCTGTGGCCGCCAGCTGACGTTCCTGGTTCTAATGCTGGTTAAGAAGGGAGCCCTGCTCTCCACCAGCCCCAGTGCTGGGCCCTAGGGACACGGAGGGACCCTGTGCTGCCCTCAGGCTGCTCACCCCCAAGGCCATGGGCTCCCATTGGCATCTCTGAGGGTTGGGTGTATTTGGGGAATCAGGGTTGCTGGGGTGGAGAGAAAGGGGCCTCCAATTTGGGCCTGTTTCATGAATTCAGGGGGAGGTGGGCATCGTAAAAGGCATGGGACAGACAGACGGACAGATGGGTGTGAAGAAAGGAAGAGACACATATTGATGATGCCCCATAATTCGTCAGCTGGTCCTTGTCTCCCCATCCCTGGTGCCCACCACACTGCCTTTTTGCTGGCCTTCAGCCACACCTGGGCCCTTGCCAACCTCAGGGCCTTTGCATAGGCTGTTTCCCCTACCTGGAAGAGCATCTCTGTTTTTCACAAGGTTGACTCTTACTGTTCAGGGCCCCGGTGTACCCTCATTAGAAAAGCATCCTCACCCCTTACTTTTTATCTCCTTTTGTGTATTTCTTACCAGCCCTTTTGGGAATCTGTGATGATCTTATTTATATACTTATTTACCTATTTATTCTCTGCCTCCAAATTCAGGCCTTGTGTCTCTAGTGTCATGACTAGGGCCTGGCACCAGTCACCTGTTGGTGGAATGACCTTATGGTGACAGTTACAACAATCATAGCTGTGCTGGTAGATGCTGAGTGCTTAGCGTGTATTATATGATTTCAACTTCATGGCAATGGTGTGAGGTCAGATGTGCCTGACTCCAGAGGACAAGGAGACTGTGGATGGCAGGGGAGGCGGGGGGGGGGGTCCCCTGCCCTCACGCCCCTGTCCCCCCCGCTTCCGGCCCTGGGAGGCCTGGGCAGGGCGCTCCTTTCTCTGGGCCAGCCCCCTTCCCAGAACCCCAAGCACCGGAACATTCTGGGACTCTATGACCTGTGCTGTGGGTCATGCTGGAGCCCTGATCCCCAGCCCAGCAGCCGGGGCCTTTATGAGGTGGGGGCTCCCCGGTCCTCCCTGGCCACGGCTACCGCTGAGAGAAGGGTCAGGAGGTACTATGTCGTCACTTCCTCGAGAAGGCCAGCCGGGGAGTGTGGGGGGCTGTGGGTAGAATGTGGGGGAAGGGACGGGGAGAATTTTGGCCCTTTCGGGGGAGGAACCAGGGCTGGGTCTTGGGTGGCTTGGGTTGCAGGCAGAGGGCACACTCCTGGGTGATGTAGGTTGAAAGCCCAGGGCCCCGGGCCACAGAGTCGCCATCAATGAGGGAAGCAGGGTGGCAAACGGGGGTTCAGAGTGATCAGAGCTTCGAGTTTTTTTCCAAGGGTAGTTGGAAGCCCCTGTTTGAGAGAGCTATGTGTAAGACAGCCCCCGTTTTAAATGTGAAAACCCTGCGTGAGTCCCACAAGCCGTCGGGGCTGCCGCCGCCCCCCCACCTCGCTCTACGTGCCTTGGCCAAGTGTGAGTTCGGGCTCCTCCACTGCCCCGGCCGCAGGGCCTGGCTCTGCTTCACCTCCCGTGCCATCACCAGCCTGAGCAGGTGCCCAGGGACGCCCACTCAGCTGCCCCACGTTGCAGACGGGGCAGTTGGTCCCAGAGAGGGGGAAGGACTTACCCAAAGCCCTCTGGCTCCTGAGCTTTGCTCTTTCCTATTGGGCTTGAGCCAAGCAAGGCCGAGTCGGAGCAGGTACCTTGGTGGTCACGTGTTCAGGGCAGTGGCCACGTCCTGCTCTTGGCACAAGTGCCAGAGCAGGGCAGCAGCTATGGAGTCCGCTCTGCCCAGCGCCCCCGGCCAGGGCTGACCCCGCCCCTGATGCATGTTAAGGGTGACCAGGGGGAATTGGGGGAGTTGGCATTCCTCGCGGCCAGTGACCCAGGCAGGGTGCACACTGAGCGCCTGGATATGTAAGGGCCTCTGCAGTGGCCCGCCATGTTGGGTCCCTCGGGCTCGCTGTCCCAGGTGCAGGCTGGTGACAGCCCCCGGGGATCCAAACCTGGGGTCTGCGCCTCTCTGATTTGTGTCCAGAGTTTCTTGGGAGGAACACCATGTGCTGTTCTCTCTTTTGCCTCTCCGCCTTCTCCATGGTGCCTGGCACTTAGCGGGTCGTTTGTTGAGTAGCTGGAGTGTGATCTAGGTGGCTGGTGGTAAGGCCCCCCTGCCCTGCCTCCCTCCCTGGCTCCTTCCCTCCGTCCCTGCTCCTTCTCTCCCTCCCTCTCATGAGTATTGACTCAGTGCCCCGAGATCTGTGCTGTGTGCTGGGGATGTAGAGGGGACTAATGGCATCCTTGTCTTGAGACAAGCAGGCATTTCCCAGCAGGATGATGCCAGAGGGAGGCCCACGGCTGCCGCAGGAGCCCAGGAGGCGCCTGACCCAGCTGGGGCAAGCCGGGCATGCTTCCGGACAAGGGGACCTCTACGCTGAGTGAGCCTTGCGCCTGCATTCCCCAGCCGAGAGCACTGGGTCTCGGATGGCAGACTCTCTCAGATTCTCACAGGGCTGGGGGGTGCATCTGGGGGGCCCCTCCTTGCAAGGCATTAGCCCCTGAGAGCCCTCTGTCTCTCCCTAGGTTAGCCATGTCATCTGAGCCTCCTCCGCCACCACAGCCCCCGACCCATCAGACTTCGGTGGGGCTGCTGGACACCCAGCGGGCCCGAGATCGGTCACCGTCCCCTCTTCGGGGCAACGTGGTCCCCAGCCCACTACCCACCCGCCGGACAAGGACCTTCTCAGCGTGAGTCTTGGGATAGCCTGGGGAAGCCTCCTGAGATAGGTCTCCTGCCCAGAGCCGGAGTCATTGTGTCTGGCCATCTCTGTGCCCCAGTGTCCTTGACTGTCAAAAGGGTAGATGGGTTGGGGTAAGGACCGATGGTGAGAGACTGGAAAGGCACCCTGTAAACTTTGGGGGGCACTGCCCCAGGCCCCTTGAGCCTGCCCCAGGCTGGGGGTCATAACAAATGGGAAATCATTGGGGTCTTAAATCGTTGGGTGTTAACCACACACAAGCCTCTTCCTTTGCAAGACCTCGACTTCCTCAACTGCAAAATGGGGACAGTAGCAGGTTGGCCACAGAGCTGCAAAGGACCTGCATGGTGCCTGGTGGATCCAGATCTCAGGCCCAAGGAGTAGAGGCTGCTGTAGTTATTAATAATTGGTCCTCGGAGGGATGCTCAGAGAGCTTTTAGTCTAATACCCTTTCCAGATGGAGAAGCTGAGGCCTGAGAAAATTTGCCAGGGTCATCAGAGAGTCACTCTTACTGAGGTCTGTGTGAATGGCTCCCAGAGTTGTGCAGTGCACAGCCTGCACAGCTGGACATCGTGGCCCTGGCTACTGCCTGGGGCACAGCTTTTGGGTGGGGGGGGGGTTCTGGGATGAGCTGGGTGTGCCCCAGGAGAGTGGATGGCTGTTTTGGAGGGCTGGTGGGGGCCTCCTCACCTTCTTCATCTCTATCAGGACGGTGCGGGCTTCTCAAGGTCCCGTCTACAAAGGAGTCTGCAAATGTTTCTGTCGATCCAAGGGCCATGGCTTCATTACCCCAGCCGATGGCGGCCCTGACATCTTCCTGCACATTTCCGAGTGAGTCAGGGCTGGTTTGGGTGGTTTGGGGCTGGGGCAGGTGCTGCCTAGGCCCCAAGGAGGCAGGGGGAGGGTGTGACTTCAGTGGGCGCTGTGTGTGAGGGTGTGACTCTGCCTGTGACCTGTGTGTGACTGTGTCTGGGGGTGGGGTGGTGAGACTGTACTTGGCAGTGGTGTGTGTGGGAGGCTGCAGGTGACGACAGTCTGCGTGTGTGCATGTGCGTGTGTGTGCACATGCGGGAGAGAGAGAGAGAGAAAAAGAGCACGCAGGTGTGTTGAGAACCCCCGGGATGGGTCTGAGTGCCTGTGTGTATCTGGTGGATGGGGAGGGGGGCGCCCCCAGGAGCTGTGGGAGCTGCGTTGGACCCGGGGTCTGGTCTCCTGCTTAGCTCGGGGGGGGCCGCTTGGTGAGGCTGGGGGCTGCGCGACCCCTGTGGTCCAGGAAGGAAGTCTGGAGCTGGACCCTCTCCCCTGCCATTTGCTCACTGACGTCCTTCCTTCCTGTGTGGAAACCCTCGGGAGGCCCAGGGTGCGGCCCACACATCCGAGGCCTTGGGGCTGGAAGGCAGCCAGAGCTTGTGCTTCTCTCCCGCCTTCAGATATGTGGGGACCTCATCTGGCACTCCTTTACCCCTGCTCCATTCTTTGGCGTCTGCACCCCCCGATCTTTATTTCAATCTGTGGCAGGCTGAGTCCTACCTCACACAGCAGACCAGGCAATGGAGAAAAACCATGTTTTTGCAAATAGGAAGGGTACTGTCGCAAATGTCTGTCGGGATGGGCGAATGATCCCTTCTTGAGGTCTTCCTCCCAACGTTCTTCCACGTCAGGCCTTACACGGGCCCCTCTGCAGTGCACACATGAGAAGGGTGCTGAGGCGATGCATCTGATGTGTGGATGCACACATATGTGGATGTGTACATGTATTTCCATCTTGACTCTGTCCAGAAGGGATCTGTAGTGGCTTACGAGGATATTCACAATGCACCGTGAAAAATAAGTCAGGAAAACATGGGGGCGGGGAGTGAATCAGAGAGGTGGAGAGATGGGGATGGCCACTTGCACGCCGGAAGTGGACTGTAGGTATATTCCTGAGCTTCCCGGTGGCCTGATCCAAGAGGGAGGCACCATTTGCTAGGGGATTCTTCAGTCAAGACAAACCAGTTCCAAGAGCTGAGGGGGATGTTCCTCTTGGAGGTATCCTCAAGGGGGCATCAAGATGGTGGCTTGTGCCCCGTGGAACGTGAGGGAATCTTCCTGGGGGTGGTCACAGGGAGAGGACGCTTTCTGGAACTAGTTTTAAGCACAGAAGGGACTTTCCTGTAAGCTCACTGAGTGCCTGGGGAGTTGGAGGGCAGAGATGCACGCAGCTGGGTTTGGGGGGCTCCTGGGACCAGGGTGGGTGTGCTGCAGGAGCTCAGGAAACTCGGTGCGCCATGCTCGACAGTGACGGGCTGGCCTAGTCTTTCTGTCTCAGGCTCAGACTGGCTCTCCCTGCCCTTCTGTCCACAGGCCCATGTTTAATGGACAGCATGGGCCCTTGCACAGGCTGAGCCTGGTCTTGGCCTCCACGTCAGGGGAGGCGAGGGGTGATGTGGCGCCACTGAAATGGGGTGGCTCCCTCCGGTGGCAGGGCAGGAGGGGCAGTTCCTGTGAAAGGGGTGGCCCTCTGACCAGCAGGGGCTGCGGTCCTTTCTGAGTGCTGGGCACTGAGTGCTGTCTCCCCACCTCTGCAGCGTGGAAGGGGAGTACGTCCCCGTGGAAGGCGACGAGGTCACCTATAAGATGTGCTCCATCCCCCCCAAGAACGAGAAGCTGCAGGCCGTGGAGGTGGTCATCACCCATCTGGCCCCGGGCACCAAGCACGAGACCTGGTCCGGCCATGTCGTCAGCTCCTAGGAGAGGCCGGAAGCACCCCTTTCTCCTGGGCTTGCGGGAGACTCTGGGGGGAGGAGGCAGGACCAAACTGGAGATGCCGGTCTACTGCTTGAGATGGGGCTTCAAAGGGGGGAGCCCGGTCCCTTTTGAGTATCTCCTGGAGGAAGGGGTGTGGGGGGCAGGCATGGGGGTGCTCTCGGCCACCAGCACAGCCTCTGACCATTGCAACAGCCTCTCACCATCTGAAAAGCATTAAAAGCATGGAAAAAGGAGGGGCGCCCGCTGGTGGCTGAGGGGAGGGTCCAACCCCAGCCCGGGGGTGGGTCAGGCGGCGCTTCCCCAACCCATAGAGTCCTTTGTGCCCCTGGACTGGAGACTTAGAATCCCCAGGCCCAGTCCGCACTGGGGTTGACCGGGGCCCTGCACGTTTCCCATGATGCATTCTTACCCACGTGGCCACCCTTCTTGTGTCCGTGGCTCCAGGCCCAGACCCTTCCTTGTGGTTGGTTCTAGGGGAACTGGCTTCATGGGGCGGCCAGGGAGCAGGGAGAGCTGGGCGGGCTCTGGTGCCTTGCAAGTGGGAGGTGACACTACTGGGCATCAGGGGAAAAGAGTTTCTCTGGGAGCCCTGAGTACCCCCCCTCCTTCCAGCTATAACGGGCTCAGCTGTATACTCTCCTAGGAGCCCGGTCTCCTTCCACCCTCAAGGTGAATGATTATCACTTAGAAGGCATTTCACATCCCTGGTCCTTTAGGTGGTGGGTGGGGGTGGGAGAAGGGAGGGTCTTTGTTTAAAATCAGACCTTTGTCCAGATCCCTCCAGAAGAGAGTTGGTAGCTTGCTTCTGGGCAGGCCTGGTCAAATCAAAAGTTAAAGGAGAAATGCACCTTTGGTGATGGGGTTTTCTTGCAAACCGGTGTTAAGAAATGCTTAGGATTTTTTTCTTTCCTTTTTTAATAACGAAGGCTCTCAGCCAGAGCCAGCCCTGTGCGCACTTCGCTGCCGACATTTCAAACATTTGTAGATATTTGCCGTAAACACATCCTTAGGAGTTTCTTTGCGGTGGTTTGGTTTGGCTTTCGTTGTGATTTAAAATTAGAAATAGCTGGGTAATAATGTTTTGAGATATGGGGCTTATGTGTAGTCAGGGAACCATGTGTCAGTGCAGGGAAGTGAACCCTTGAAAGCTTTGGGGCAGACAGGGGTGTTGCAGAGGAGGGAGGGCGGCCTTCGGGTGCCGGGCTGGGGGGATGCTGGGAGCAGGAAGGCCCTCATCAGGTGTCTCAGTCTGTGGACCTGTTTGTCTTTCGGTCTGGGGAGGGCTTCCTTTGAAAGGGGTTGGAAGGTAGAACTATTTTGCTGACGACTAGTGAGTTTTTAAAATACACAAATAAGTGTGTTGACTGTGTGTGTGTGTGTGTGTGCGCGCGCGCGTGCGTGCACGCCGGCAGACAGCGCAGTGAAGCGAGCATTTGGTCTGTTTTTTTCCTGGCCCGTGGGGCCGTGCAAAGGGTTCCTGCGCCCCCTGCCTCCTGCTGGGTCCTTGGAGGCCTTTGTCAGCTACAGGCCACGCTTCCAGAGCTCCTTTTGGGAGGACGTTTGATGTTGGTGACACAGCTGGGAATAGCATCCGGGATTCCATCCACATCTTTCCTCCCACCAACCGCCTCTCTCTCAATAAAGTGTGTTTTGTGCAAGGTTCTGTGTTGTTTTTGAAGGTGGAGGCCGGGTGCCTCTCCTGTGAGCCAGCAGGTACGGGCGTCTCCCCCGAACGGGGTGGACACAGTCATGCTCCGTGTCATTCTGCTTCACAGGCTGGTTTTTTGGGGTGGTGAATAAGAGAATGGGATCATCCCTTTTCCCTTAATCCTTCTCCGGCGTTGGGCAGCTTAGCAGTAGAGTCAGGCTTCGGGACAACAAAATGCCGCTTGCCGCATGGATGCACTTGAACTTTTACTGTGTGAGCGTGAGCGGCGAGAGCAGGGGCAGGCCCGACCGAGGGAAGTTTGGTGGTGGGAGGTGTGAAGGCCCAGGGACTGGGTGTCCAGGGGCACAGCAGGGAGGCTGGGCTGACAGGCAGGGATGCTCTGGGTCGGATTTACGGGTCAGGTTGGGAAGGTCTTGCCCAGCCAGGGTCTCCCGAGGGAGGGTAGATCATTTTTGATGGTGCAGAGATGAGTATTTTTACTGCAGTACTGATTTTCAAAGTGTACTCGGAACAATTACAACCAGGCCGAGGGACCTGTTTAGGGAGAAGCCAAAGTAGGCGTTTTGTCCCAAACAAGGAGATCTGTCCAAGTGCTGCACTCAGCAAGTACTGTGCAGGTGGGAGAACTGCAGGTGGTGCGGGAATGCAGCTCCGAGAGAAGGGTGGGGTGGCCGTGGGACGGAGCCCAAGTGGCCTGATGGGGTCAAGGTCAAGGAGCAGTGGGGGAAGAGGAAGCAGCCCTTGGAGAGGAAGTGATTCAAGGCCGCTTCCACCTCGACAAATCTGCCAAATTTTCCCGATCGGGGCGCTGCCCCTGCCCACTGGCTGAGAGATCTTGCCAAGTGTCCCGTCGATCCTGTCCCGTCTCCTCCCTCCGGTTGGAGTGCAGCACCTCACTGAAGCACAGGAGGGCCTTCCTGGGGGCTTCTCCCTCAGGAGCCCCCGCCGTGCCCTCCACGGGGCCGCTGGCTCCAGGGCCAACCTCTGCTTCCCCCTTGCTCAACAGTTAGCTACAGTGTTGAGGTTTCCCGTGCTGGCGTCGTGCTGTCAGTTCCGGAAAGCTGGGGGCTGACTGAGCCGTGCCGGGAGAGCAGGGCTGGCAGGGCCCGTCCTACAGGCTTCCTGGGGGTTCGTGAAGTCGACAGTAGCCTGGCTGGAGGGAGCTCGTTTAGGTCTCCTGTGTGGTAGGGGCCTTACCCCACCCGACAGAGGAGCAAGCAGGCTGCGATGAACCCGTCCTGAGTCACGCCGCTGGTCAGCAGCAGAGCCGGCGTGGGTGAGGCTGCCACACCTGGCTGGGGGAGCCCCGGGGTTCTGGAAGGCCCGAAGACAGAGATGCCTGTGCTAAGTGTAGGTGCCTGTGGAAGGCGGGGCAGGCGGGAGGAGGTCCTGGCAGCACAGAGGGAGGCCCCGGGGGTGGTGAAAGGGGCCCAGGGGGTCTGCCACTGAGTGTGCGGCTGGCAGCCACGGTGGGAACCCAGGGAGGGGTGGGGCCCAGCCCCACAGCCTCGGGGCACCTGCCCAGGGCAGCCCAGGCAGGGCTGTCTCCAGTTCTAAAGGTTAGGGCAAATTTGAGTTAAGACTTGCTTTGCTGTAACAAGGAAACTTGTGGATCCTTACCCAGTGGGCAGGAAGGCGAGGATCTGTGCCAGCCGGGAAGCACAAAACTCTGGCGCTGCAGAAACCCCGGGAACACCAGTGCCCGAAGCAGTGGCCTTCAGATCTGCCGATCTTCCAGAATCTGAGAAGACAGCATGGCTGGTCATTCACTTCACCATTCATGTAACCGTCAAAGAAGGAGAAAGGCCTCAGAATGAGAAATGGGAAACAATAAAATCAACTTTAATTTGCTGCTTTTCATTGTGAAAGGTCATTACAGTATCATTTGCAAAATCCAACAAAGAAAGGTACCCCTGGGTGGCTGTGTCCTGGGAACCACGGAGCAACGTCAGCCCTGGGTGTGGTCATGCAGACTGCCCCCAACCAGACCCCAAGTAAGACCAGCCCGGGGGTTCCTGGGAGGCTTGGAAGGACCCAGCGAACACTGAGGTGAAAGCACCTGGTGGGGTGGGGGTGGGGCGGTGGGGGTGCAGACCGCCGTTCAGATCGGCCAGCCCTGAGCAGAGGCCGTGCTCTGGACTGGAGTGGACTGAGGATTTGTGGGTCCTGACGAGTCCAGATTCTGAAAAGTGACCTGTGAACCGTTTCCTTGGATAGCGCTCCCCCACGGGACCCTGGAGCTGCCTTCCAGTGGCACAAGGACCTCGCAGAACTCGAAGCACAAGTGGGGGTCGCAGGCCCAACCACCGGACGGCTCCCACCCCTTAGGTCCAGAGGCCGGGCAGACCTGCAGCTTCACGAAAAGATCTGCAGGGCAGCCGTGCCACTCCTCTTCTGTTAACGATCCAGGCTCTCACGTGTTCCCTGAGAAAGTGGAGGGGAGTGAGGCCCTCGGGGAGCCAGCCAGCGCCAGCATCCAGGGGCAAGGCAGATGGGGCCCACTTGCTCCCATCCTGACAGGCGGAGGCGCAGTGGGCTCTCCTAAGTGTAGTGAATTCAGAGCTTGCCTGCCGTGCTGCAGGCCGGCTAAGGTGCAAACTCGTTGGGGTCAGTGGTCACTTGGCGGCCACCCGTCTGCGTCCCATGCGCCGCTGAACTCAGTACTGCCCGGCGGCCACAGGGCCCTCGCTTTCAGAGTCCCCCCAGGCTGACACTCAGGCAGGAGCTTCCCCTCCGAAGGCGCTGTTGAACTTCTGTCCTGGGGAGGGATGGCTGTAAACATCTTGTCCTTTCTCATCACCAGATGCCCCCGTCGGTACTGACACAGGGGGTCCAAACATTGATACTGGTTACATTTTTCACAAGACCCATGAGGAGTGAGGGTCCAGGCACATTCGTTCTGTATCATTCTAGAATGATGGGGAAGGTTCCCCTCAAAACCGTGTGTACCGTGATTGCACGTACGGAGGGTCTGAGACTTGGGGGTGGGGGATGAAATCGGGTTGGAGGTATTCCTTCAGGCCATTCTTGACAAGTCTGGCTGCTTCTGGCACTGAGGGTGGAGGCCACGTCGTGGTCGGGGCCACAGGACAGTGTGGGGAGCCTGGCGTGTGAGGGAGGGAGGGATCCTGAGTGTGGCCACCAGTGGCCCTTGCAGCCTGTCAGCGGGATGCCCTGCCCTCCTTTGGGAAAGGGGCCGTTAGGAGAATAGCTCCTCACAGATCCTGCGGGTGTCCTCGGGGGCCGTCACCGTGTAGCCCACGGTCCTCGGGTCGGTGAAGATCTCGTGGTCATTCCCGCCCTGCAAAGACACGAAGGAGATGTGGGCGCCTTGCTTCTCCTGGGCGCAGGCAGCCGGGGAGCTGAGGAACTGGCGATTTTACCAGCAGGGAGGCCGGCTTCGGTCACCTGAGCCCCCTGGGAGAGTAGCAGCCCGAGCACAGGCATTACCGAGAAAGGCTTCATCACCTTCCCTCGAACTGCAATTTAGCTTGGAATGTAATTACGCCTATGAAAGAAATCACGACGCTCTTGTGAAGATCTGTCTGAGGCTTATTTTTCTATACGGCAAGCGCGGCAGGTGATGGCCCTCTCTGCCACCGTGTTTTTTTTTTTTAAGATTTTATTTATTTATTTGACAGAGACACAGCGAGAGAGGGAACACAAGCAGGGGGAGTGGGAGAGGGAGAAGCAGGCTTCCCGCGGAGCAGGGAGCTCGATGCGGGACTCGATCCAGGGACCCAGGATCATGACCTGAGCCGAAGGCAGTCGCTTAACCAACTGAGCCACCCAGGCGCCCTCTGCCACCGTGTTTTAACCGTGCCCAAGCTGTTGTCACAGGCAGTGTGGCCGGGCTGACAGCCCACCGCGGCGCTGCCGTTGGACCTTGCGGTGATGCCGACAGGCCGGCCTCCGAGATGACAGCAGCCACCGGTGACTACTGAGCACTTGGTGGCATGTGGCCACAGCCACAGAGGAACGGAGTTTGTTTGATTTTGATTCGTTTACATTTAAATAGTCCGTGTGTTTGGCGTGTGATCCGGGTGGCCCAGCTGTGGACCCGGCCTGTATCGCCGAGGAGCGGTAACGCCACACCCCGCCCGCAGCCCTGTGGGGGTCACCAGGTCAGCACCCGCCCCTCAGCTCATGGGGCTCCAGGTGTGTGCACACGGCACTTCCCCTGGGCCACTTCCAAGAGTGGAGGGCAGGACTGCTTCTGCCGGGCCCCAGCACATCACGGGGGTCCCGTGGTTGTGGGTCCTCTGGTCCGTGCGGCACCCCCACCCCGCCCCTGGTCTCGGGTGAGTGGAGCAGGCTTCCTGCCGTGCCCACGCCCGAGCTGCAGCAAAGCCCCTGCTTTGCTTCTCATGCAATTCCCTAGGTTTTCCTTGGAAAAATCAATTAGTTTCTAATACGATGAAAATGACTGCAGAGACAAAAATGGATTTTTATCGTAAAGATTCTACAGGAAAAATCTGACATCCCTTTAAAGGACTGATGGAGGGGCGCCTGGGTGGCTCAGTCGTTAAGCGTCTGCCTTCGGCTCAGGTCAAGGTCCCAGGGTCCTGGAATCGAGCCCCACGTCAGGCTCCCTGCTCTGCGGGGAGCCTGCTTCTTCCTCTCCCCCTCCCCCTGCTTGTGTTCCCTCTCTTGCTGGTCTCTCTCTGTCAAATAAATAAAATAAAATCTTTAAAAAAAAAAAGAAAATAAAAAAAATAAGGACTGATGGACACGGTAATTCCTACTGCTCTCATTTTTGTGAGAATAACCTCTCCCCAAACTTTAGGAGGGGCTGCTGCCGGGGCCCAAAGTACGCCAGGTGTAGGAGTCAGGTTAGGGGGCCACGAACTTGGAGCCATTTCGGGGAAGGTCCCTTCCCAGCACTGACTGGGGGAGCTGCTGGGGTCCGGCCCTGGCCTCACAGATTTCTGTGCTGTCAAGGGGCTCTGGGTCAGCGCTGAGCGTCACGCCCACCATGTGCTACCTAAGCAAGTAAACGTGAAACCAGTTCATGCAATTCTTAGAATTAAAGTCGGATTCCTCTTGCGAATAGCACGGGAGGTAAAAACTACTGCAGAGAACCTAACATAGAAAAAAGATTCGTGCATTATCCAGAAAAACCCAGCATCTACCAGGGACACATTCACTCCCTGTCACTCACTCACTCACTCAGGAGGAGTCTGTATTCACACATGAACCCAACCAGCCCGGGGAGCACCTACTACCACCTGCTGGGCAAACCAAACCAAGGTAGGGACCACCATCACAGCTTGAGTCGGGGGCGGGGAGAGGGCAGGAGACGGAGGTGAACAACTCCGCAGGGCAGACAACAGGGGAAGAGAACCCGGGGTGGCAAGGGAGGCACCTGTGAGCAGAGAAAGTGAGGGGACAAGCTGTGTCTGGGAAGGCAGCTCAGCAGCCCGCCAGGCCAGGGAGGTAAGGACTTGGGATATTATGTGAAGCCACCAGGAAAGCTGCCACCTGGGGACACGATCAGATTCACCTTCTGGAGGATGGAAAGGTGGGGGATTAGGACGACGAGCAGAAGCACTGCAGTTAGGAGGCTGCACAGCCAGCCAGGGTAGGAGGGCAGACGCCCTTCCCCAGGGAACGAGTCCGAAGCAGCCACCCAGCCTGTCCCTCCCGGGAGACCTGGTCCATGCGGGGCCGGCTCTCTGGGCTCTGTCTGGGCTCAGCAAAGATGGCAAGAGCGTCTCGGAACCACCACCACCACCAACCTCAGACTTTAACTTCCTCTCCTGCCAGGGGACCTGGCCTCCCCTGTGGCTCCTTGGGGCTGTACAGGGCTCGCATGCAGAGTCAGAGGGAGGTTGGGAGAAGCAGAAGCACAAAGTGAGCTAGTGTGAGTGCCCTCCCCTAGAATTAGGCTTCAGAGAACTGAGAATTCCAAACACTGGATTTGCACAGGGACCACGGGTCACACTAGATTAAGACAAAGGGAACAAAGCCAAAGCAACGGATGCCAGATCGTGTTACCTGAGGGCCCAGAGGAGAGGCCTGCAGCTCAGTGCAAACAGACCATTAATATTTAAATCCCTACAAGGCCCAAGTCTGAGGGTGCAACAGAAAACCAGAAGGCAGTTCTGCGTGGGGTCCAGTCTCCCTGCCACCAGGCTGTGTTTCCGCACACGCTGTTGCTGAGCTGATGGGGGGCTTCTGGTGAAGCCTGAGGATCCTGACGGTGGAGCTGAGGAAGGGAACACAGATCAAGTTCCCCAGCCGGTGGGCCCTGCTGGGCAGGCCGCCAGACCTCGAGAGGGTCTCTGCTATGACCAGCCATCTGGGGCTCAGGCAGACCCCCTCCGGCTGGGAGTCCACTCCTGCCGCACGTGGACATTAATCTCTTGGCAATGTAACGGGATTGATCAAATTTCTAGGTATCAGGGTACAAAGGCCAAAGGGAAAAGGGCTCTGGCCTCAAAGCCCTGGGGCAGCCGTGCTTGCTGGGCTGAGGGGACAGTCACTGCGGGAGCTTTACCAGCACTTCCAGGGCCAGTGTCCCCAGCCTGCGGGCCGCTGTGTGGGAAGCCAAACGGATCTGAGTGTGCGCTGCATGACTGGTATGTAGCTGTTTCTCAACGTGTGATCATTAGCTGGGGATGAAAACTGTCACAACTTTCAGACAGATTTGATAAAAACGTATGCCCTTAGATAATTGTACTGGTTTTTCCTAGAAAGAAGTCAACTGTTACGCTTAAAAGGAAAAAAAAAGCCTGGCCCCATGGTCATGATGTTTTAAAAACAATTAGGTGATTCCAACGTACCTCCAGGATAGGATCCAGTGGCTTACAATCTGATGACTATCCAGCTTGGGGTGTGGTGGAAAGCAAGCTGGCTTGCTGTCCTGCTAATGCCCCCGGGGTGACCCTCTGGGTCTGCTCCTGGTTCCGGCACATCCCCTCATTCACAAAAATGGGGCTGAGCGCTGTGTGAGGGGCCTGGGCACAGACATGCATCCAGAAAATGCTGATTTATAGACATCAGTGACCGTACCAGGGGAGTCCCCGAGGGCCGGCCACACTCTAGGGGCCTGAAGCTGGGGTCCCCCTGAACAGAAGAGCTAGAGCAGGGGCTGCTCCTCCTTCAGGGCTTATCCAGCCAGTCCTCCCCCGATCTCAGGCGCGACAGACCACAGAAGGAAGGCGGGTCAGCAGGGACCCCAACAATCACCTGCACCCATGGTACCCCTGTCCGGTGTCCTGCTTCCCGTCCTCCCACGAGGGAGCCGGCTGCACCCCCTCAGCTGCGTGGAGAATATCCAACCCGGTCCAACCTCCTTCAGTCAGATCTCGGGGAGCAGCGATTTTCCTGGGGGCCTCTCTGGGAGCAAGGGACTCCCCTCTCCGTGCTAACCTAACCCTGCCACTAGTCCCCTAAGACCTGGGTCTCAGATTTCGCACTGAAACACACGAGTAGTAGGGCAGGTCTGCGCATAGGACACATTCTGTGCCCTCATCGGCCCTCAGGCATCCTGAGAGTGAGCGCAGGAGATGCCAGGCATGGCGAGGACACCCAGGTCATGGCCAAAGGCCAACTCCATCTAAAGCCTGAGCAGGAACTCAAGGCTCGTCGGTTTACACACATCGCCCACCCTGTAGGCCTCCAATCTCTCATACTGGATGAGCTTTTCTTAAACTTTATTAAAAGCTGCAGACTTGGTAGCCGGCTGGTTCCCCTGCTGGGAGAGGCAAGTCCTGCTGCCTTTCCTGGGCCACCCTCCCTCCAGAACCTCCCTTTCCTCCCACTGCTTCAGAGGAACTGCGTGCCCACGGAGGTGACAGGCACCGCGGCTCACGGATACAGAGACGTGTGTGGTCACCGTGTGGGCAGCAGGGGCCAGATTTGGGTCTTTTGGGTTTCAAAGCTGCCTCTTCCCACCAGGCCGATGGGGACCTCTTTGAAGCTTATTTTAAAGACAGATCTTCCCTGGGACGCCTGGGTGGTTCAGTCGTTAAGCGTCTGCCTTAGGCTCAGGTCATGATCCCAGGACGTCCTGGGATTGAGCCCCGCATTGGGCTCCCTGCTCGGCGGGAAGCCTGCTTTTCCCTCTCCCACTCTCCCTGCTTGCGTTCCTGCTCTCGCTATCTCTGTCAAATAAATAAATAAAATCTTAAAAAAAATAAAAATAAAAAATAAAGACAGATCTTCCTTTTTAACATTTGTAGAAAACCAAGTATTGCATGATTAAGTAGCAGTTTGGAGGCGATGTGGGAGAATGACGAGAGGCTTTTGGATGCCACCCGGTCTCTGACCCTGCACTGCGCCCCGCCCCACACGGAGCCTGTTGCTGCCCGTCCCATGCTCCCCGCCAGGCTGCCCAAGGACCAGAGGACAGAACGTCTAAGTGCCCAGCTCAGGATCTGAGACTGAAGTGCTTTAGAAGCTAAAGAATTTAGTTTTCTTAATTTGATATTTTAAAGCTTTATTTTTCAATAGATAGCACATTCACAGAGTTCAAAATTTAAAAAAGGGACAGAGTGCTAAATGTCTCTCCCATCCTTGTCCCTGGCCCTCCGGAGGTCTGTCATCTGCTTTCTTGGGTGTCCCTTCACATTCCCTTTATGCACTTAC